GGGAGGAGAGGGGAGGGGGAGGAGAGGGGAGGGGAGGAGAGGGGAGGGGGAGGAGAGGGGAGGGGAGGAGAGGGGAGGGGGAGGAGAGGGGAGGGGGAGGAGAGGGGAGGGGGAGGAGAGGGGAGGGGGAGGAGAGGGGAGGGAGAGGAGAGGGTCCTTGCTCAACCAGAGATGAGAAATGGGCCAACTCCCTGAGCTGCCCCTGAGGCCTCAAGACAAATATGAAGAGAATGGAGGGAGCATTTCCCTAGAAAATAAGAGAGTGGGATGGCTCTGGGTGATGTCCATTAGCACAGTGGTTCTCAAACTTGTCCCTGGAACACAGGATCAGCATCACCTGAGAACTCATTAGAAATGCAAGTTCCCAGGCCCCACCCCAGGCCTACTGAATCAGAAGGTCTGGCGTGGGGCAAGCCCTCCAGGTGAGGCTGATGCCCGTTCAAGTTTGAAAAACCACTGCCTGAGAGAAATGAGACAGTGCGAGTGGGTGTTAGTCCCTGGTAGAAAAAAAAGAGGTGGGATGGGCTCCCTCAGAGCATCAGTTCCCAGGGGGAAGGAGAACTTGGGGCTGCCTGTAGAATTAGGAGAGTGTTCCCTGCTTCTCACTGTGTATCCCCTACCCAGACGCACTCACCCAGGTTCCCAGAATCATCGGGGAGGCCTTTATGCCTATCCGCTTGGGAGACAGCAGGAACGGTGGTTGGTTGATGTGTTTGCATTCCTTCTCTGGAGGAAGCCACGTACTGGGACCAGACATGGCCTAGAGGTGAGGAACAAAGGCTGAAAGTTTGGCGAGGTCTGGCGGTGGTCAGCCTGGGGCCAGGCCTGATGAGGGCTCTGGGCAGCTGACCTCACCGCCCTGGCAGCCCTGAGACTTGAGCCAAGGATGGTAGGAGGTACCTGGCCACCTCCCAACTTACCAGGAGCCCATCCTCTGGGGGTGAAGGGGCCCTGCGGTACTCTCATGACCCCTGCCACCCACTCTATGACCACCCATCAGCCTGAAACCTCTTTCCAGGTTCCCAAGGGCTCTCCCAGTCTGGCAGGGTCCAGAGAGGTGCTCCAGACCCCAGTCTGGGAAGCAGAAGCCACACGGACTTTGCAGCTAAATGAGTTGGGCTCCAATCTTGGCTCCTCCCCCTTGCTGGGAGCCTGGGCAAATCCCTTCCTATCTCTGGGCCTCAGTTTCCTTTCATGAAATGCAAAAGACAATCCCTCCCTCCAGGGGGCTGAAATGTGCGCTCCCCAGAGCAGGTGTTCAGGAAATGTTGGTACCCTTTTTCATTCCTCTGGACACGCCCACCTTCCCAAGCCCTTAGCAGTTCCCTCCCCGGGAGGCAGAACCTGCCTGGGGTCGACAAATGTCCAGAGCCTACTCAAATGACTGGCTGCCGAGCCCCCAGAAAGGAGCCCACAGCTCCCCTAAACAGAACCGGTGTGCGGCCTTCTGTCGGGCAGACCCCTTATTCACACTTGGTCCCGCTCCAGTTTTCCCCTCATCCTCTCTGCAGGGGAGGGAGGGGCAGAGATCAATGCCCACTGGGCACTTCCCGGGTGCCAGGCTCCATGCTATAGGCTCTAGTACTAACCTCAATGAATTCTCACAGCCACCTGGTCGTGCTCACGGGACAAGCATGTAAACAAAGGCTCAGAGAGTGACAGACACTGATCCAATGTGACTAGTAAGTACAATACCAGGATTGGGAACCAGGTGAGTCTGGTACCCAAGGGTGACCTTTCGGCTGAAATAGCCACTTCCACCCCACCCTGCCCCCGCAGGAAAGCCCCCTTCCAAGAGAAGAAGGAAGGAAGGCCATAGGGGCACAGTGACTAGTTTTGGGGGACACTGGCTAAGTGTGGCCCAATAAATTCTTTCTGGAGGGGCTTCCGGGTTGCGGGGAACTTTTGAAAAAACTCCACGCTTCTTATTGTGACGTGAGTTAAGTTCTTCCGCGAAGCTCTTGAAATTCATCAGTTCCCTGGGCCGTTTTTTCTGAGAAACAGAGGAGGAACAAGAATATGGTATGTCAGGAAAAGCAAGAGCTGCGATGCTGGACCCTTACCACAGTCAGAGGCAAGCAGTGATCCAATGAGGCATCACTCTCCCCCATGCCTGCCACTGTCCCATGGCCAGGCCAGTCCACCCTGACCTGGGCGACAGAGACGAAGCCCCCCAGCCAGGGGTGGGGTCAGTCTGATGGGGTCTCTAACAGCCCCTCCTCCGTGCGGTGCCCTGCAGCCCAGCTTGCCTTCATCCATTTCTTCTTTCTTTCACTTGTTTCGTGGACATTTACTGAGTCAGGCACTGTTCTAAGCAGGAGCGATAGTCCAAATATTTAAAAACCAGTGTGACGGGGGAACACTCAGGATCCTTAGGGCAGCAAAACTACTCTGTATGATACTATAATGGTGGATACATGTTATTATATATTTGTCCAAACCCATTGCATGTACAACACCGAGAGTGAGCCCTAATGTAAACCGTGGGCTTTCGGCGATAATAATGTGTCAGTGTCGATTCACTGATTGTAAGAAATGTTCCCCTCTGGCGCTGATTACTGACAGTGGGGGCCTGGGCATGTAGCGGGGACAGAGGGAGCATGAGAACCCTGTACTTTCTGCTCAATTTTGTTGTGAACCTAAAACTGCTCTTTAAAATGTTTATTTTTTAGATAACACAAGATAATATCCTGTGGCCTGGGCATTGGCTCTAGGGCCTACGGAGCGTCTGAGGCCCCTGCTCTGCTGACAGGACACCTTCGTAGCTGGTCATGGGGAGGCCTGGGAAGCCCCAGGGAGGAGCCAGGTTGCAGGGCTCATTCAGTGGCTGTTTACCAGCTGGTCCCAAAGAATTTCAACATTTCACCACCGCCACTTCCTAGCGCTCCTGATGCCTTTACCACAGCACCCACTCCCTGCTAACATTCTATATTGTTTTCACTTGCGATTGTGTTTCTTTTTGCACGAGAAAGTAAGCACTTACTAGAAAGTAAGCGCCACTGGGGCAGGTTCCCCTGCACTTAGACGATTACCTGGCTCAAGACACACATGAGTGAAGGCACAGTAGAGACAAAATAAACAGTTAGACAAATACTTAAGTCCAATTACTATGAAAGCAAAGCCCACGGTGCTAGGAATCACACAACAGGAATTTGACTGGTGCAGGAAACGGGGGCATCAAGCTATAATTCTACCTCAGCTTCCCCTCCCAGCCCTCCAGTTCTCTGCCACTAACCCACTCAGCTTAGCTGGGTCTGAGATGGCTGGGAAGTGTCTCCCAAACAGCAGGACACTCAGGCCTGCACCATCTAGGTCCCTGCAGGCCTGGCAGCCTGTCTCTCATCCAGGCCTGGTACTGGGGCCCCCTGCACCTCCCCTGCAATTCGTGCTGGTACAGAGGAGAGGGGACTGGAGGTGAAGCCAGACAGATGCCGTGGGGTTCAATCCCGGCTCTGCCCCTACCAGCTGCGTGGCTAGCCTCAGTCTCCTCCTCTAACACAGGGCGCCTTACCCTGCCCTAGCTGGGAGGGGGGAGTGAGCAGGCTACGGGAAGAGTCCTGCGCGGAGCCTGGCACACAGGGTGCCGTGGCTAGGTGAGGCCTGTTTCCTGACAGGGGGGGCAGAGCCCGCCTGGGCGCACAGCCGCACAGAGTGTGTCCATAAGGCTGAAGCTTGCTTTGGCCCCCGAGAAAGTGTCACAGAGGCCGCGGGTGCCCATGGGTCGCGCCAGGTACGCCTCGATGCCACTTTTGAAGGTGTAGGTGCCCAGTGCCAGACTGCTCCCCTGGAACAGAGCACAGAGGACAATCCCTGCAGGTCCATCACCCCGTGGGGCCTCAGTTTCCCCATCTGCCCTGGAGTCCCCCACCCCAGGTCTGCGCAGCGAGGTGGGTGAGGCCTGGCCAAGGTAGGGGGATACCTGATGAGCCAAGGGGGGCGGCTTGTTGGTCATCCTGCACATGAGGCCCTTGGAATGAGACCGGTTCCAGGCACTCTCCTCCAGCTTCGTGTACGGGTTGCCCTTCTCCCCATAATTTCCAGGGCCTGGATAGTAGTTCTGGGGGCGAGAGGGAGGGACATAAAGGCTGTTAGTCCCACACCCTGTGCTGCTGACTGCACCTGAGGAAGAGATGCCCTCCAGAGGGGAACGGGATTTTCAGAGTCCCTGTGTGTTAACTGCCCCCCAAAACACACAGCACTGTGGGCCTGGGAGCCTCTGCCACTGCTCAGACCTTCAGTTCCAAGTTCAGACTTCACTGGGGCCCCACTGGTCTGTCCAGCTTCTCCCTCACTGTTCCCTTCCTACATCTGACGCTTCAGCCAAAGTGAGGTCCTTGCTGGTCCCCAAACCTATGCCATTCTGGCAACCTCCTCGTCTTTGCTTGCTTGTGCCATTACTGCCACCCAAAATGCCCTTCCCGCCTTCTTGGCCTTGGAAAGTTCTTCTAATCCTGCAAAACCAGCTCGAATGTCATCTCTCCTGGGAATGAAGGCTTTCTTCCCTGATCACCCCAGACAGCTGCTTGCCTTGGTGGTCTCGGAAATCCCAACCACTACACCCCTGTGTTATAGCCCTACGTTTACATGAATGGGTTTCCCACTGTGCTGTGAACAGCGCTGCGACCTGGAGGGATCTGGAGTCCTGGGTTCGAATCCTGACTCCACTGCTTCCTAGCTGACTGACCTTGGGCATATGCCACTTACTCCTTCTTAGCCCCATGGCCCACATTTCAAGCACAGGGTTAGTAGAACTTTCTTCCAAGCTAATGAGGATGATATGAAATAACGTCTATAAAGCCTCTTGCACATGCCCAGTCCATAGTGGGTGCCAACACCTAATAAGTCAGGGTGGGGTGGCTGTCTTGGTGGGGCGGGGTAGGAGAGAAAGAGGTAGGAGAGGTTGAGAACTGTGGTTGGAATGAGGATCTGAAGCCTCGACTGCCAGGGTCGGAAATATGGCCTTTGTATGTGGAATGAGAAGGGCCACCCTGCAGTACAGGTGGGTGAGTGGGTAGCCATCGTTGGGTCAAGACCCGGCAGGATGTTTTCTGCTGCTTTGCACCTTTTAGCCACACGGGATCGCTGCCACTCCACATATGGCTCAGCCCTGACTACCTCCAGTCCCTGGAACCTCCCAGGAAGCAGCCCAGAACCAGGCCTGGCAGAGAGGGTGGGTAGTCAGGCCATGGCAGGCATCAGGTTCATTCACCCTCAGAGGAACCAGAATGCACATTGCCTCCTTCCAGGGCCCACGGTTTCCAGGTATGTTCAGGAGAAAAGCCCCAAAGTAGGAAGGTGGGTCTCAACATCATGTGCTGGCTGCTCTACTAGGCTTAATATCTTGGTCCTGGAGACATCCTGACGAGATCAGATCAGTGCCACTTGCAATCAATAGATGGGGAAACTGAGTCTCAGAGAGGCAAACCTTGTGTCCATGGTCCCACCTCCAGAAAGGGGCAGCACAAGGGTTCTAACTTCAAAATCCATGCATGATCCTCTGAGCTTCTACTGTTTCCCAGGCACTGTGCAGGCACCAGAGGTGGGAGAGAAATAAGCACCACGGTGTCTAGGGAGACCTCAGAAGCGAGGGTTATAACAAAGGGGTGGAGCTGCTGATCCCGGAGCTCACAGACCAGGAGGAGCCCAGTGCCGGCACTCTGTCGGCAAAGCCTCATCTCTCCCTTCAAACCTTCAGGTTCAGAGGTGCAGCAACACACCTGGGCTGATGTGAATACCCCTGACTTTAACTAGAATGTTATGTTTCAGGGCTTCTGGGACCCAGGCAGGAGTGCTTAATTCTGGGGGAAGTGGGAATTGTCATTTACAAGATTTCCTTTTAGGTGGACCTTGAAGAAAGAGTCATCTTCCCAGAAGATGAAGGGGTGGGACAGGTGTCCCAGGTGGAGGGGGCCATAAGAGCACCTTTGAGGCAGTTGGGAGAGGTATACTGGGAAGAGAATGGGAAGGCCTTGAAGGCCAAGCGGGGCATCCAGACTTGATTCTGGGGCATGAGGACACCTAGGAAGGCGACTGGGGCAATATTAGGTGACCAGGACATCAGTCCTGGGGGCGCCCCTGGACAGGGGGAGTGTGGCTTGGGCTTGGGCAGAGGTCAAGGGGATGGAAGGAGGAGGATGGGAGACAGAAGCACAGACCTCCGTGACTACAGGGGAACAAGGTGCCCGTGGGCCTCTGGCTCTGGACGCTGGGCGGTGCCATTGCCCAGGAAGAGCACGTCTGTGGGAGATGCTGACATGGCAGGAGCAGGGCATGCAGAGTTTGAGGAGCCTGGAGGACCCCGGGGTGGGGATCTGAAGCCATGTGCATGGAGCCTGGCTGTGCAAGAGAGAACACCCCACAGAGGGTGGTGGGGAGGGCAGGGCCTGGGAAAGAGAAGCCACGGAGGGAGGCTGGCGGAGGAGCTCCAAGGACACAGAGCCCAGTGTCCCCACAGCCAAGGGAGGGCAGAGCGTACTAGGAGGAGGATGGAGGCAGAGCCCAGTGCCAGCACAGAAGGCGCTGGCTTTGCAGGGCTGTGCTTCCACAGCCCATCCGCTCTGGGGAAGGACTCACAGGACCCAAAGCAGGCACCCACAGCTTTGCACTGGCGCTGCGGAGGCCCCCATGGAGAAGTCAGCACCCTGCACAGGTGGCATTTGTAGGCCTGTCCCACCCACACTGGGGGGACAACTGGAGGGACCAGAGGCCAGAGGAGGCCATCAGGTTCCCAGCCCAGAGCAAGATGATAGCTGAGAAAGTCAGGCCTTGGATGTGAGCTCTTCCTGGGGCTGCCTTCTGCCCACTGGGGCAGTGCCACCTCCTTGAACTTTCTGTCCAGCCCTGAGCCCAGGAGAGTGGCTCGGGGAAATCCCGCAGGGCCCAGTGAGGTTACTGCAGGAGCAGATGTGGGGACCAGAGAGAAGAAGAGACAGCTGGAATGGAGGGACAGGCCGTGGGACCTTCACCCTGCTCAGCCAACCCTCGCAGATGCTCCAGCGCTGGGGACCGGGCACAGGAGGAAACAGACAGCGTCTGATTTGTTCCCCCAACTCCTCTGCCTTCAGTGGGGCTGGGCTCTGCCATTAGATCCTGTCCTCCACGGATGGTCAAGGAACAAACCAAGTGAGCCCAGCCTACGGGTCAAGTGCAGTTGTTACGTGTGGACACCTTGGACTCAATCCTGCCTCTGCCGCTTAGTAGCTCTGTGACCTTGGGCAGTCACTTAACTTCTCTGTGCTCGTTTTCTGTCTGTAAGTGGCGATGACAGTGCCTGCTTCACAGGGCTGTGGTGAGGACTACATTCATTAGTACCCTCACGTGCTTAGAACAGTGCCTGGCACATGGCAAGTGCTGCATTAAGTGTCGGCTATCATTACTTTAGACTTGAAGGAAATCACTCATTTTTCAGTGCCTCCAGGCAGCCCCTCTCCCCACAGTGCAGTTACAGCTTCTGCACCTGAGGATGCATGTGCACGTACCCTGAACGTGGCAAGGAGTAATTCCCAGGCTCCACAGAAGGCTTCACAGTGGTGAGGTGTGGAGGAAAGGCCCTGGCTTGGGGTTTGCCCATTTGGCCCACTGGGGCAAGATGTTTATCCTCTCTGAGCCTCCAGGGCCTCGTCTGGAGTGGTTATAAAAAATTAGAGTGTTTTGGAGAACCAGTACTTAGTAGGCAGGCATGGGTTTAGTCCACAAAGACTTATCACGTGACAGGCGCTGCTAGGACCTGGGGATTCTGCAGCGAACCAACCGGGCAGATGTGGTCCACCCTCGGGGGCTGCTGTGCGCTGGGGAAGAGACACTGAACCCACAGCCACAATCGGGGCTCCTGGGAAAGGGAGATGGCCCCTCATGGGGTCAGGTCAGACCTCGGAGCTGAGAGCTGAGGGATGAGCAGGGGGTCCTTAGGGGAAGGGGCCGCTGGGGGCGGAATGGTACTTCTGGTAGAGGGGAGAGCAGGGGCAAAGCACAGGGCGAGTGCTTTGCCTCACTTTGAGGCGTGAGGAGTGCAAGGGTGTCCAGCCCAGGGAGCGTGAGGGGCAGGGGAGGAGGGGTGGCACTGGCAGCGTGGGTGTGACTCCCGCCTTTGCCCGCACGACCCTATGGAGCCTGAACCCCACTCATCCCGACCCACACCGATGCCACGGCAGCCCTCCCGCCACCCCCACCTCTCACCACAGTCACCTCCCCTCTGGATGCCTCCGATCCCCTCCCCCACAAGCATGTCACTCAGTACCCCCCACACATACAGCAAAACCCTCCTCCCACAGCATCTGGAATCAAACCCGAGGCCCTCACCTTGCCAGAAGGGCCTCATGTCCTGGTCCTCACCCCTCTGCTCTTGCCTCCTCCCCCCTCACTCACAGATTCCGCGAGTCTCCATTGCTCACCTACCACAGGTTTTGCTCGAACACCACCTCCTCCCAGAAGTCTTCCCTGACTACCCTATAAATGGCACCTCATCGTTCGCCATCTCTCCCTGTCTCATTTTTCCCCATGGCCCTCATTATATGTGATTTGCTTCTCTGTACCGTTGTTTCTACCACTAGGACCACAGCTCCATGAGGGCAGGGACCTTGTCTTCATTACTGCTGGATCCCCAGGGCCTGGAACAGTATGTGGCACTAGAGGGCGCTCAACCATTATTTACTGGATGGCTGGATGGCTATAGATATGGAGGAGTTTGTTGAGCACCTAATGTATGCCAGGGACTCAAAGATGAACCAGACGCATCTCTGCCGGCAGAGAGCTCCTGATCTGGTGGGGGAGACGCAGAAACCTACGACAGCCAGTGGGCTGAAAGCTGTGGAACTGGAAAGCAGAGGGGCTGTGGGGTCCCAGAGGGGAGCCTGGCCAACCCTGGGAAGAAGAACGGTAGGAGAAAGGGCGCTTCCAGCCCCACCCAGGCTGCATGCTCTTCAGACAGAGCAGAGGGTAGGAGGGATCCCACTCCGTGTATGAGAACACCTACCCCAATGAGTCCTCGGAAGCGAATCTCCCCGGAGCTGAGCAGCCCCCGGGTGCTGCCCGGTTTCTCCTGCAACTCTTCTAAGAAGTCTTTGGAGTTGTAGGAGCCAGGCCCCAGCTCTTCCTTCTGCCCCAAGAGAAGAGAGCAGAGTTGAAAACTTTACACTTGGGAGTGTCCACGCGGGCAGGAGCCCAGGCGAGGATGTGTTCCTTAAAGGATGAGGTCTACCTGGGCCTGGGAGGACACTGCAGGCCACCCTGGGGGCAGGCAGGACCGGGCAGGAGGACCTGGCACCAGCAGTAGGGCAGGGTGGGGCCCCAGGGGCCTCACCTGCTGCCGCTTCTCTTTCAGGATGGCCCGGTACTGGAAGTGGGGCAGCTGCGTCAGCCAGGTGGCTTCCTGGGCCTTGGCGCAGCCTGTGCCCACCTCCTTCTTCAACTTCTTGATGCGGAAGCAGGTCTCCTTGCAACCATAGGTCCCAGGTCCTATGTGGGACTGAGTCAGAGCACAGTCAGAGCGAGGCCAGCCACACCCACGAGTCCACCCACAGAGCAAGTCCTCTCCAAGCTGTCACCCTGACCTGGGAGTGGACAGGCAATACCCCTCTGGGGGCCCCTCCCCCAGCCCCGAGCCTGGCCCTCAAGGTGCAAACATGACATCCTCTGTCACTGGCCCCCTTACATTTCAGAGAGAGCCCGCAGCCAGTCTGTGCAAGAGCTGCAAGTGGAACCCAGGTCTCTGTGGATCTGACCCATGCTGTTTTCATTACAGTCCTGCGTTTATCAAACACATTGAGGCCCCAGCTCTGATTCAAGCTCTGAGCTGTGGGCTGAGGGCACAGAGGGGTGTGAGGCATGCCCCTTACACAGGTCAGCTCATCTGTCACGGGGAGGGACTCGGAGGGGCAGTGGCCAGACCATGTGGGAGACTCGGGAAGCTTTGCAAACTCACCACATCCACAGAGTAAACCCTGGAGTACGGGGCCTCCCTGAAGGCGCTGAACTTCTTCTGGTTGGGATAGACAGTGGAGACGTCAAACCTGGGAAGGACAGATGCCCAGTGAGAGGCACCCAGCCCTGATGAGGGCAGTTCTGGGTGGTGGGGGAGTTGGCATCCCACAGGAGGTGACTTTGGAGCTGGCCCATGAAGGATGAGCAGGGCTGCTGCCTCCTCAGGGTCTTCGTCCTTCCAGGTTCCCTCTCCCTAGATTCCACCCTTGTCTGGTCCCCTAACCCCCTGCTGGGAACCTTTACTCAAAATCACCTTCTCAGTGCAACCACCAGCCGCACCACCCGCTGCACTCGCAGGCTCCCCCTCCCCACTTCCTTTTTCTCCATAGCCCTTATCACTAGCCAACATTTTATATCTTTTTCTTTTTTTGTTTATTATCCACTCCCACCACCCCTCCCATATGAAGGCAAGCTCATGAGCAAGGGCTTTGCTGTTTTGTTCACTATTTTATCCCCAGATGCTAGAACTGTGCCTGGAACATAGTAGGTGATATATATATATATATATATATATATATATATATATCACATCTCATATATATATATATATATATACCACCTATGATATGATACATATATCATAGGTGGTATATATATATGATATACACACGATATATGTCATACGTATGAATGAAGAAAGACACCTGGGTTGAAATCCTACCCATGACTTTTGGGCTGAGTGACCTACTATGGGCCAGGCCACTTGGCCTCTCTGAGCAGCACATAGTAGGTGCTTCTGAAATGATTTTAAATAATAACGGTGGTAAAAGGCTCTGGGCCGGGAAGTGCGGCAGGCAGGAGAGGTATAGAAAGTCCCGCCCCCCCCCCCCCCTGCCCGCCCCACGCCCCCCCCCCCTCAAGGGAGCCCGTGAACCAGTTGGTGGCCATGGCGCTGGCCCACCCGCCGCGGCGAGTTCCGCGCGCTCGCGGAACTCGACTATGGGAGTTTGCCGCGCCCGCCGGCAGGCCAGACCGGCTTCTGCCACCGCCGCCACCGCTGCCACGGCAACTCAGGCCTTGCGATTTGTGATCGCCACAGACCTGTGCGCTGCGTGTTTGCCCGCGCTGCGCCCCTGCAGGCGCGCCCGCAGGGTCCCCGACTTTTCCATTCGGCTATGAACATTTTCATTGCTGCCTTGCCAGACATCCTTCCCCAAGCCCGGCAGATTTAATGGCCCCTCGCGGTGGTTACTATGGATGCCATTTGGTCGGGTTTTAGAGTCATTTGTTGAGGAACCGTTTCCGATTTCTTGCTTTATGGCAGAGCCCCGCGCAGGGCCTGGTGGAGCGCAAAGGCCTCTTGATGTTCACCTTATGCTGGTGGGACCAGTGAGACACACAGAAACGGCTCGCTTAGGCAAAGGGCATTCCATTCCTTCTCCACTCTGGGGAGGGCAGGAGGAGAAAGAGGGAACGGGCAAGGGGGGCCAGAGCATGGAGGGCAGGAATAAGGTGGTCAGGAGAGAGGCAGGGTTGCAGGGATGGTGTCAGGACTCATTCCTCCCCCAGTTACCTGGACACCCACTCTGGGCAGACATTGTGCAGGGTGCCTGGGACCCAGATATGGTCCCTTCCCAGAGAGCTAGTGGGGGAAACAATGACTACACAGTGTGACCAGGTCAGTGTGATAGGGAGGCCTCTGACCCAGACTGTGGGTGTGTAAGTCAGGGAAGGCTTCCTGGAGGAGGACAATTCCAAACTCAACATTGAAGAGTGTATGTGGCTTGAGGGTATGTGCCCCCAACAGGGCATGGTCAGCTCTCTCCTCTCATCCTCCCTTATCTCCCACCAGTGCCCCACAGTCATGCTACAGACTGTCTAATATCATCTCCCACGATTGTCTTTGATCCCTCCAAGGGTTTTAGGCTAAGGTAGGGCAAAGGGCCATACGCCATTTGACGATGACAAGACTGAAACCAGAGAGAAACAGGACCTTCCCAGGGGGCCTGCCTCCAGCCTGTGGTGGAAATGGATTACCAGGACAGTGGGTCTTCTTCCAGGCCCCCCCCCAATATCCTTCTGACATCCCAATATAGCATTTAAGCCGTGAGCTGGGCTCACGGGCCCCAGGCTGGCAGGCACATGGTCGCGGTTGGTAGAGCATCCACCCTGCACTGCTGAGCTGAAGGTGAGAGGCGTCAGGCCTCGGGAACACACACAGAACAGTCACCCCAGGTCATCCAAGCATGGACTTTGCCCCTTCCCAACCACGTGACCTTGGGCAAGTCACTTCCTTCTCCGATTCTCAACTTTCTTACCCATAAAATAAATCCCGTAATCTCTTTATCTCCAGACTGCTGTGGAGATTAAATGAGCTAATTTAGGTATGCTCCTGGAACATAGCAGAAGTACAACAAGAGGTCATTCCTAGCCCTTGGAAAGGGACCTTACAGAGGGTCCAGGGGCAGAGATTGTGTGTCATTCACTCCTGGTGCAGTACGTGGCACATAGTATATGCTCAGCAAATATTTGTTGAATGACAAGTGAATGAATAAATGAATCTAACCCAGCTTCCCAGTAATGCATAAATCTTCAAAGAGAATCATGTTCGAATCCTAGCCCTGCTGCTTCCTAGCTGGTGGCCTTGGGCAAGTTACCCTCGCTAAGCTTCAATTTCCTTGTCTGTGACACGTGACTGCAGTCTCCTGGTGGAGCTGTTTTGAGGAGTGAGTGACATGTGACTGTGTCCACTACCACATCCTATGTGCTGGGGAGGCCCTGCAACCAGCCCCAGGGCTGCTCAGGTGTTCTCAGGTTCTCGCAGCATGAGAGCCTTGGCTCTGGGACTTATGGAGGAATAACCACAGGATATAGGCCAAGGTTCACTGGGCTGGGAGTTCCGGCTGTCAGGCAGCTCCGAACAGGCCAGAGTAAGTCAGCTCTGCAGCAAGGCAGCCTGCTCTAATCAGCCCAAAGCCTTCCCATCACAGCAACTTACTGATCACAGCAATTAACTCTCTCTTGTAGGTACGATTGCAATCCTCTCCAACCCCTATTATACAGAAGAAGAAACTAAGGCTCAGACAGGGAGAGTAACTTGCCCTGGTCACATCTAGTGAGCATCACACAGCAGATACAAAGCTCATAACTAAGTTTGCAAGAGTTTCTAACCCATCCTCTAGAGCCATCTATTATGTCAATAAAGTCAAATCAAGTTTCATAGCCAGGATTCAGGCCTCTGTGATGGGGCTGTGGCTGCTGCCTTATGTCCTCATCTGCGGTCATCTCTTCCCCATGCTCTGTAAGCTGCAGCCATATGGGGCTACTCTGTCCCTAGGCATACCCTGCCCTGGCAAAGATCTAGCCTTTTCATGTGCCTTTCCTGCTGCTGAAATGTACCAGCAACCTAACCTCCCCATCCAACTCCTACTAATCTCAGAGTCAGATCAAAAGCCAAAGCCACCCATTAGGATGGCCGTTATAAAAACAAACAAAGAAACAAAAACAGAAACAAATTACAGGATATAGAGAAATTGGAACACTTGTGTATTGTTGGTGGGAATATAAAATGGTGCAGCTCCTGTGGAAAAAAAAGTATAGCAGTTTTTCAAAAAAATAAACATAGAATTACCATATGACCCAGCAATTCCACTTCTGGGCATACAGCTAAAAGAAGTGAAAGCAGGGACTCAAAACAGATATTTGTACACCCATGTTCATAGCAGCATTGTTCCCAACAGCTAAAATGTGGAAACAACCCAAATGTCCACTGATGAATGAATGGATAAACAAAATGTGGTATATACATACAATGGAATATTATTTAACCTTAAAAAGGAAGGAAATTTTGACACAAGTTACTACATGGATGAACCTTGACATTATGCTAAGTGAAATAAGCCAGACACCAAAGAATAAGTATTGTATTATTATTCCACTCATATGAGATACATAAAGTGGTCAAATTCACAGAGACAGAAACCAGAACGATGGTTGCCAGGGCTGGGGAAGGAGGGCATGGAGAGTTGTTTAATGGGTACAAAGTTTGGGAAGATGAAAAAGTTCTGGTGATGGATGGTAGTGATGGCTGTACAGTGTGAATATACTTAATGCTACTGAACTGTACAGTTAAAATGGTAAATTTTATGTAAAGTATATGTTATGACAATAAAAAGGGGGGGGAAAAGCCGAACTCCCTGGAAATCTGTCTCTGATCCTCCCAAGCAGGTCAAGAGCCCAAGTTTCATCTCATGATCACCAGCAATTTATAGTAACAATTTTAAATTAAAAGTTATTAAATTTTACATTTAAAATTACAGGTGAGGGATTTCCCTGGTGGTGCAGTGGTTAAGAATCCGCCTGCCGATGCAGGGGACACGGGTTCGATCCCTGGTCCAGGAAGATCCCACATGCCGTGGAGCAACTAAGCCCGTGCGCCACAACTACTGAGCCCACAAGCCACAACTACTGAAGCCCGCGCACCTAGAGCCCGTGCTCCGCAACAAGAGAAGCCACTGCAATGAGCAGCCCGTGCACCGCAACGAAGAGTAGCCCCCGCTCCCCGCAACTAGAGAAAGCCCACGCACAGCAAGGAAGACCCAATGCAGCCAAAAATTAATAAATAAATAGATAAATAAAATAAAATTACAAGTGAAAAATATCTCCAGAATGTTGTTTTAATTTACCTTTTTATTGCTCAAGTCAAATATTTTTTCCAAGTTTACAAATTGGCTCTATTTCCTCTTCTGAAAATGCTGGTGTGTTTTTCAAGAAGATAAAGCAACAGGGTCTCAGGAGCCCAGCCCCAGATGGAATGAGGGGTGGGAGGGACTCAGAAGTTCAGACCTGGGACTTCCTTGGTGGTCCAATGGGTAAGACTCTGTGCTTCCAATGCAGGGGGCCAAGGGTTCCATCCCTGGTGGGGGAACTAGATCCTGCATGCTGCAACTAAGAAGTCCACATGCCGCAACTAAAAAAAAAAAAAAAAAAAAAATCCCACATGCTGCAACTAACACTGGCGCAGCCTAAATAAATAAATAAATATTTTAAAAAAGAAGAAGTTCAGACCTGCTACAAAATCCAAGTCCTGGAGGACTAGCAGCTTGGCGTCAGGGAGCACAGCCCAATCTTCTGGAGGATAGGGGACTGATGCCAGGCCTGGGGGAAGGCTGGCAAGAGCAAGACAATTGGGCCACAGGTGGAACGCAGACTGAGTGGGAGCTGCTAGTTATCCAGAGTGATTAGAACCAGCACCTGGAGCCCCGTCTTTCCACTGGGGCCGACTGCAGGGCAGAGAGGAGGCAGAGAAATCCCAAGTGGGGAAGCCTGCTAAATAATGACCAAAGGAAGAGCTGCAGGAGGGGGCAGGCTCCATTCAGAGGAAGCGGAACACGAGGGACCGTGGCGGGGAGGGGAGAGCAGCAGGGCTGAGGGGGCTTGGGTGCTGCGTTGGAAGCGCCAGGCCTGACTCTCCTGTTCAGTGAGCTCGCACAGGGCGGAGCAGTGCTCAAGGAGGAAGGGCCTGGCTTTTTGGGGTTCAGCAAACTGGGTTCCCAGGCCTGCTCGGGCACACCCAGTTCTGTGAGCTGGGCAAGTCCTTTTCCTCGTCTGAGCTTCATTCAGTTTCCTCATCTCCTGAGCAGAGAGAGTAAAAGCACGCCTTTTGCCATGCACCGGGGGTTACACGCCCCGCGTTTGGCACTGCACCTAACAGGCACACCTGGTTGTGCAATGCGGGCGTCTAAAAGCCGTTGAGCTGCGAAAGCGTAAACACCCACAGGGCGCTCCCGAGCCGACGCTCTGACCCACCCACCGGCGGGCGGCGCCCCGGGATGGGAGGTGGCTGCGCCCCGGGCCTCTGCGCGCTGACCCTTGCCTCCCGCGCCGGGCTCGCTTGAGGGGCGGCCCCATCCACGGCGGCCTCCGGAGCAAGGCTCGGGGAGCCGCGGGGCAGCCATGGCGGAGCCCGAGGCCGCGGCCGAGGAGGTGGACGCCTTCATCGACGACCTGGACTACCTCCCCGGCCACTTCCACCTGGAGATGCAGCTGAACTTCGAGCCGCGCTCGCCGGCCTCGCTCCACGCCCGGGACCTGAAGCTGCAGCGGGACGGCCTGCGGCAGGAGCTGGCGCTGACGGCTGCCACGCAGCGTCCCGCCGTGCGCCACCTCCTGGGCGCCTTCGCCTTCTACCTGGAGGAGCTGGATGAGGCCCGCGAGAGCTTCCTCGAGGTGGCCCGCGAGGACCCGGGCAACCTCAACGCCTGGGCCAATCTGGTGCACGTGTACGGGCGGCTGGGGCAGAAGGAAGAGGAGGAGGCGTGCGCCGAGCGGCTGGCCGGCCTCATGGGCCTGGCGGGGGACCGCGGGGCCGCCGGGGACCCCCCGCTCCGCGCCGCGCGCTGCCTGGCCGAGCAGGGCTACGCGCACGGCTTCGACGTGGGCTGCGCCAGCCCAGAGGAGCGGGCGCGGGTGCTGGAGGCCGGCATCGAGCTCTATGACAAGGCGCTGGGCCACGCGCAGCAGGTGGGTGACCCCTCCCCAGGCTGGGGGGGGGCTGGGGTCGCGGCCCCTAAAGTCTGCAGGGATGCCCCCGGCCTCCAAATTCTCACCGAACCCTGGCCCTTTGGCTTCCGGAATACGGTTCCAGCGTGCCCCTCCCACCTTGGGTCCTAGACCAGGCTTGTAGCTTTTCTCTGTCGGACTAGGGCGTGGACCCGCTTCCCAGCGGGTTAGCTTGCGGAAGTTTCTTTGCTGGCAGCACTGCAAACTCCACACACCAACTCATCCCTCTCACCTTGCTCTTCCCAGCAAGTACCTGTCCCTGCACCTGTCCACACCCACCTAAGTATAAGGCACAGCTCCACATCCCGCCAGAAACAGGCAGCATTCTTGCCTCCTCTCTCCCGCTCACGCACCATAGCCATCCACTCAGACCCCGGATCCTGTCCGCTCCGCCTCCTCATATCTCCAGGGTCTATCCGCTCCTCTCCTGCCTCCCCTCACCAGCCCAGCCTCCATCATTCCCTGCCTGGGTTCCTGCTCTCTGGCCTGACCCTTCGGCCTCCTCCTCCACCCTTGCTGCCAGTGTCATGTTGCTCAATCCTGCTGGCCATATCCGTCAGCTGCTTACAACCCCCAGTGACTCCCCACTGCCTGGCACGTAAGTCCCAGGCTCTCCGGTGGGCACTAGAGACCCTCCGTGGCCTCGCTCTCTGCCTTCCCTCTGCCGTGTTCCCCCTTCCAACCAGGCTTTTGCCACCGTCTACGTCCCCTTGTTCCCCGTGGGCCAGGTCTCCTTACAGCCCACCTTGCCACTCTTTCGGCCTCTTTCAGAGGTGCCCTTTGCTCTACCCTTGCCTGGAAGGTTGTCCTCTCTCTCAGGCATCCACTCCGCTGACTTTTCCAGGCTGGGTCAGGCATCTCCCCTGGGCTCCCACAGCACTGCTCACACTGTCCATTTACAAGTCTGTCTCCCCACCTCAATCTTGAGCTCTTCAAGAGTGGGGACAACATCTGTCTGGTTTACCACTGTAAAGCCGACACCTGGCCAGTGGCTGGACACAGTGGCGCGCGGTAAATGCATCTTGAGTGAATGCATGTGTAGCACAGGGCCCGGAGCTAAACAGACGAACGCTGGGCATATCAGTTACCCATTGTTGTATGACAAATAGCTTCTGAGACTTAGCAGCTTGAAACAATAGGCACCGATCGTCTCAGAGTTTGCGTGCTGAAGACCCAGGCATGGTTTAGCTGGGTGCCTCTAGGCTGTGGTCTCATCTGAAGGCTTGCTCAGCTGGGGGCGGTGGGGTGGGGGTCTGCTTCCAAGCTCACACTCATGGCTGTTGGGAGAATCAGTTCCTCACTTGCTGTTGGCCAGAGGCCTCCCTCGGGTCCTTGCCACGAGGACATCCCATCACTTTTGCTCTATTCTCTTCATTAGAAGCAAGTCACTAGGTCTAGCCTCCAGGCAGAGAGCGGGGGTTACACAAGAGCACAGATACCAGGCAGTGGGGATCACTGGGGGCCATCCCAAAGGCTGCCTGCATTGGATGACAGACAAGTGACGTAGAGGCATTGTCCTCTTGTTACAGAAGAGGAGATCACAGTTCAGAGAGGTACCCTGGCTTTTCCTTGAAGGCACTGCATAGGCAGTGTTGAGCTGATAATGCTGACTGTTTGACAGTTAAACGACAACAAGCCTTCACACGTGGGTAGGATGGCTCCATTCACAAAGGCTCTGCACACCCCCTCGGAGGCTTTTCCACCAAAGCTTATGGCTCCCGCATACGAGGAAACGTGGAGTCAAGACCTCAGGGAGTGCTGGGTGAGAGGCACGGACTTGACTTAGGGGAGCAGGGCAGGTGGAGGTTAAGACGGTAGACTCTGGGTCACACAGTCCAGGTCCGAATCCCAATTCCCCATGCTCTCACCTCCAACCGGTCCGTAGCATGACTGAGCTTCCCTTTCTATGAAATGGGGATAATAATAGTGCTTGTGTCCTAGGATTCCTCATCCATAAAATGAGGAACAGAGCCTGCACAGAAACAGCAGGATCACAGACGACCTCTGCCTCTCCTGACCTGGGAGAGCCTCCTCCCCCCTAAACTGTGTGCAGCTGTGGCTGTCCCTGGGGCCAAAAGGAACCTAGGTCTCCTGTTTTAGAGCCTGAGCGCAAGGCCCTGAATGCCAGCCGCCCTCAGTGGAAGGCGTGGCCAGCTTGGTGTATGTTGAGTATGGTCACAGTCTCAGAGCAGGGCCTGAAAAGCCCTGGACTGGGAGCCAGGAGTCCTGGGTTCTCATCTCAGCTGCAACCACCCACGGTGGGGCCTTCTCCTCTCTGGGTGGTGGTTCCCCCATCTGTGAAAGTGAGGGAGGGGGGACTGGATGGTCTCTGAGGTCCCTTCCTGCTCTCAGGAGAAGGCTTCCTGGAGGAGGTGAGCAGGGAGGCAAAGTTTTGGGCATAGGGAAGGAATGGGGGCCGACTCCTCCCTCCCTGCTACTGGTCTGCCCAGCCACAGTGGGGGCCGCACCGTCCCCTTCAGTGACCGCTCAGAGGAGAGAGTGTCAAGCAGGGCACTGCCCTGTGCTCCAGGGAGGGAGCTGACTGTCTCAGGTGGGAGGTGGCCTGTGCTGTGTCCTTGGGCCTGGCCCAGCGGCTGCTCCCCAGGTCTGCACAGAGTATCTGTGGTCAAAACCTCCCCCCAATCCCAGGAGAAAGTGGGTATTTGAAGCTCCCCCGTTTCATCATCTGAGGATTAGGAGAGATCATGCTTATAAAGTACCTGGCACAGGGTAGATGCTCAAGAAATAGTCGCAATCAGGATGACAGTGATGATTTTGTATAGTAAGAGCAGGAGGCTGGGTCCAAGCACCCAGGTCGCTTATTATTCTGCTGTGTGACTTTGTACAAGTCACTTGTCATCTCTGGCCTCAGTGTCTGCTTTATAAACATTAAACAATAGTGATTTCTGCCTCAGTTTACTATGATTATCCAATCAAATCATGGGGTAAAAGTGCCCATAAACTGGTAAATTCTGGGCATGTCTGAGACACACATGCTCAGCATCTTAACGTTTATTGAGCACCTACTGTGTGCCAGGCCCTATCATTAAGAACTCCTGCCTTTTAGAAGCTCATGGACAAAGGGAAGAGCAAACATTAGTTCCTTCAGTAACCAGCCTTCCCTGAGCCCCATCTCTGGTAGTAGGGGCCAAAGGGGTGTGTCAGAGGTGTGCCTATGACTGGCTGAGGTCACAGGCGTTCATTACATGGCCTGTGCCAGGTGACAATCATCTCTGAGTGCTGTACACCAGAGACCATAGTTTCTGAACCAAAAACAGGACGCCCCCCCCAGAGGCTGACAAGGGAAGTGCACTTCGAGGACATCAGGACCCGTGTTGGAGTCAGCAGGGACCTGGCAAGTCCAGATCCTGAGGATAGAGTGACAGTAACTGAACTTCAGAGAGGACATACTTCCTTTCAGCACAAGTGACTGAGGGAGGCTTCTGGAAGAGGCAGTAGTGTACTGGCAGGAATGAGAGGAGGGCAATCCTGGCAGGGGCGTGGTGTGTGCAAAGGTCCTGCGGTGGGGGCTTTAGTGACAACTGAACTGGATGAGACCTGGAAAGAGGGCAGCCAGAAGCTTCATGGGTAAGAAGAGCACGTGGTGGCCCTGAGGAACTGCTGATGTGGTCTCTGAGGTCTGGTTCCTGCCCTCCTCTGAGCCGCATTTCCTCTTACTTCCCTTGAACCTTACTTCCCAGGGACTCTAAACTTCTCCTACTTCTCCAGACATGCTGTGCTGCTTCACAGCTGCCTGTGCAGGAGCTTTTCCCTCTGCCTAGAAAGCAAACTCCATCCATCAAAACCCAGCTCAAATGTCACCTCCCCCTTGAAAACCTTCCTTCACACAATGCCCACCTTCACACAGTAATATTCATGAACGCTCTTCTCCAGGTGCCTTGCGGACTTCATCTTAGTCCTCACAAGAACCCCCTGATCCCATTTTACAGATGTGGGAACTGAGGCAGAGCGAGGCTAAGTAACCTGCCCAAGACCACAGAGCTAGTAAGTGGCAGTTGAGTTTACACCACTCTGACTCCAAAGCCTGTGCTCTTTCTGGAGAGGTGGGAGAATTGGGGTGCAATAAGTGTGAAGCAGATGGCCGGCAGGATGGAGAGGGGAGCCCCCCACACCGGTCACCTCCTGGAAATCTAGGGTGGAAGTGTGGAGAAGTAGAGAGAGGGTTGCCGTGTATAGGGAGTGGTGGGGGGATAGGAAGGACGAGGCCAGAGGTGAAGTCAACATGGGGTCAGGGAAGGAGGAGTGGGGAGAGTGGGGCAGCCGCTGAGGGACCTCCAGTTGAGAGGGTTGCCACCCACAGGAGCGCAGCTGGGGGTGGGCGGCCAGGAGTCCGACCCAGCCGGTGCTGCAGCTCCAGGAGATTTTCCATCCTGAGGGGGCTGGGACTGTCCCAGGCAAGGAGGAGCCCCCGGAGCTCAAAGAATAAAGAGCAACCGAAGAACCAATGACGGCTGCTCATCTGCTAACTAAAATTACAAGAGAAAACATTACAAAAGTTAGTAATTCAGCCCATAATCCAAAAATAAGCCACATGTCTGTGGACGAGTGGACGAGTGTCTGTGCCTTCCCTCTCAGCCTTTAGTTCCCTCCCTTTACTCGTCCTCAAGTTACAAAAATATGATGAGGCAGATTGCTTTATCCGTCATTCCTCCGCACCCCTGTCACCTCTCCACACACACTCACAGACGGATTCTTGGTGGAGTCTCCAGGCTGAGTGGGTATTAGGAGCAAACACTTTGCAGTTAGACACACTCGGTTAAAATTCTGCCTCCATCACAGGTGGCTACGGACAAGTCACTTCACATCTCTGAGCCTCAGTTTCCTCATCTGCAAGGTGGGATTCTAACATCACCTCACAGGGTTGCTGTGAGGATTAAGTGAGAGACCGTGAAGGGCTCCAGGCAGAGTGTCGATCATGTTGGGGCCCAGCCCCTCACCTT